TGCAACAATTAAATAACAGCTGATAAATAGAATCAAGAAGTAACCTCAAGTCTTACTGACTTCAATGTTCTTTTCCTCCAGTCAAAGCTGCCTTGAAATCTCAAGCAGTCTTTATCTTCTGCATAGCAAAATAAATAAATAAATAAATAAATAAATAAATAGAGTGAAAAGAAAACCTACAAAATAGGAAAGAATTTATCCCAGCTATTCCTCAGAAGAGGACTAATATCTAAAATATGTAAAGGATTCAACAAAATTAGACCCTCCCAAAATAAAAGATCCAATCAAAAAATGGTCAATTCAAATGCAGAGACATTTTACAGAAGCAGCACAAATGGCAAATAAATACATGAAGAAATGCTCATCATCGCTGGCCATTGGACAAATGCAAATTAAAACCACACTGGGATTATTCTAGAAAGAATGGCCATCCTGTAGAAATCAAATAATAACAAATGCTGGAGGGCCGGGAATTTAGCTCAGTGGTTCTGCTACCTGCCTTGCAAGTACAAGATCTCGAGTTCAATCCCCGGTACCAAAAAAAAAAAAAAAAAAAAATGCTGATAAGGCTGTGGAGGTTGAGTGGTGGGAATATAAACTAGTACAACCACTACAAAATCAGTATAGAGATTCCTCAAAAATCTAAAAGTAGAAATTCCATTTGACCCAGGTATTCCCCTTCTAGGTGTCTTCCTGAAAGAGATAAAGATATGTTACTGTGATATGTGCATACACAGCAGCATAATTCATAATAGCTAAATATTGGAAGTGGTCTAAATGTCCAACAGATGAATGGATAAAGAAACTGTGGCATATATACATAATGGATTTCTACTCAGCCATAAAGAAGGATGCATTTGAATCATTTGTAGGAAAATGGATGCACTTTGAGACTATATGGTGAAGTAAAATAAATCCGATACACAAGCCTAAATATTACATGGTTTCTCTTCTATGATAAACTCAAATTATAAATAAAGAGCAAATTAAAAGATAATAGGAAGGGCTGGGGATTTACCTCAGTGGTTCCGCTGCCTGACTTGCAAGTGCAAGGACCCGAGTTCGATCCCCAGTACCAAAAAAAAAAAAAGATAATAGGAAGTAGGGGATAGACCTTCCTCAATGGGAAGGGGATTGAGAGATGGAGAGAGGGCACGGAGAGGAGGGAAAGAGGATGCAAAAAGGAATTAAGATGTGTTTCATACATGGACCAACTCCACACAAAGAATGTAAACATTATGGACTGCAAACATACAAATAAAAAATTTTTAATAAACCATGAGATAACTCTCCAGTGGGAAGAGCCCCAGAATCTTAATAAGTTGTTTCAGATAAATGAAGTCTTGTCTGGTTTCCTCTGGTATCTTAACCCTCTCATTACAGAAGTCCTGGGAGATTAAATGATTTTTGCAAGGTCAAATTGTTATTATGTGACAGAACTAGAAGGCCTCACCAGCAGGGCACAGGGCACTGGGGCTAATGGAAGAAGAATTTCCTATCTACTTTTCACCCAATGTATAGTCCCAGAAGCCCTGCAACCTCTCTGGACATAAATTTCCTCACCTATAAAAGAGAGTAGTTCAAGTGATAATGAAAATCCATCCAATAAACACATGACACAATGTCCATGAGATTAATTTCTTACCTCTATAAGGATAACTATTTTTGTTAGTCATGTTGCTAAAGAAAAAAGATTGAAACAGATACAGAGACAGAAAGGTCTCTAAGGGTCCCTACCCTATCTCCCATCACTACCACCATTAGGCCAGACTAGAACCACAGTAAGCAATTCTGGGCAGCCCAATTCCCACTTTGGTTCTCCTTGCTTGACCTTCTTGGAATGAGAGAATGTATTCATCAGAGATTGCCATAATAATGCATAACACATCACCCCCAAAACTCATGGGTTTGCAGGGCAGCTCCATTCCAATGGTCAAGAAAATCACAAGGCCAAACCCAACATCAACAAGGGGGCTGGAGAGGTGAGAATATTGCCCTGGTTTAGGGAGAGGAACTTTCCAGTCTCCCATGCTATGATGTTTGTCTGTGGCTATGAAGTTGAGACAGCATGGCCATAACCCCAGTGAGAAAATGACTCTCATTTAATCCTCATATTTAGGGGCTGTGACTTCAGGTTATATAGATCTAAAAGATCTTCAGCTCACTCATGGTTGAAGAGAACAGGACTCAGTGTATCAACTGAGAGTAGAAAGAATGAGGTTCTGACAATGTTGGGAAAGCCCATGGTAATGATTCACATACATTCCAGCGGGCTTTTTCATACAAGCCCTTCGCATATAAGGGGTTATGCTGGTGCCTCTGTGAAGAATCCCTCCTGGGAAGGTTCCAGTTGTCTCCCCTGAGTTACTGGCCACGTTTAGGAGAGAAACCTAATCTGAACTAGAAGTTTAAATTATAGATTCTCCAATCAAATCAGAACCTTCCAGAACCATCTCACAAACAGTTCCAGATACCCAAGCCTGAAAATGGGGACTGAATGCCTGTTGTCTTAAAGAGTTCAAGAGCTTTTACGCTAAAAGAAATGGAGAAAATATTACTATACCTAGTCTCCCATTCAATACTCTATTTTGATTAAGGAATCTTGTGTGAGAAATCATCTTTCTTGCATCCCATTCACTTTTGGGAAAAGACTGATTTTTGCCTTAGTTTTTGTTGAGAAGAGAACAGAAAATACAGATACATCTTTAATGCTCCCTGCCAAAATTGCAGTCCGAATCTGTTATTTCCTTGGCTTCTGTTTTTGCAGTGAAACAGTTTCTTGCTAAATACCAAAGGGTTCACACCTTAAGTCTACCTTGGGATGCAGCTATGTGGGGGAAGAAATAGATACCATGCATCAGCCTTTTCTGTTTCTCCAAAGGAAAGGACAACCCTAGGTGTTTTAGGTCACGTCTGGAGCATTTTACAACATTTAAAAAGACCCTGCTTTGTGAAACCCGGTAGGGATGAGTGTAAACAGTGCACGTTTCCTTGAAGAATGGCTTCCTTGCGCAGCCCGTTCGTTGTTTCTTCTCAGAAACTGTAATCTATCGCCACCTGGTGGTCACTCTGTGTCCGTGTTTGGAACAGCCCGAACTGGGCGTTTTAAAATTTGTACAAGGCGATTTACCCGAACATAAATCATCCAGTCCCCCTTGATTTATGTCATTATGTTAGAATATTTGCATTTTCTGAAATATCAAAGAAGGGCCATGGGGAAATTATCTGAAGAATTCAGCCGTCCTCTTTAGGAGATTGTACGATTGTGATTTCCAGTGCTCTCAGGCGTTCTGGCTAGGAGTCGGCGTCCCTTCCCCGCCCCCACCACTCTTTTAACCCAGTCCCACTCCCGCCTCTGGGGGAAGGGTCCTGTAGTCTGCTGGGAGGCGGGTGTGGACTTAGCTGCAGTCCTCCAGTGAAAGCCCAGCACGACTTGGAAACTGTCTCTCAAGTTTCCAAATGGATCTTAACTCCTACTTAAGAAAAGCCGAATATAAGGTTAAGCAACGCTTCCCTCAGCCTTCTTCTCGGGAAACAGACATTTAAACGGTGAGCATTGCCTTTTTGCTGTCATCAATTAGATACTTAAAATAGACCTTAAAGAGCAGCTAAAATGAACCAATACTGTGGCTCCAAAATTAGCCTTCCTGGTGACTAAAACGGTTAAGTGCATCGAAATAGAAAGACTGACGTTTCTCAACTACTCACCCTGACAGAGATATTTTAAGTGGGGGACCCCTGCGGAAGCCCACTAAGGGCCAGCCTCCATGCCTCAAGTTCCTCCCCCCCACCACCACTCCTTTGGAGGGAAAGCAGTGGCCCCAAAGAAGTCTGCAGCATCTTTAAACATCCAAAGAAAGGGCATTGTGGCCACTGTGGACAGGGGGTCTTGTTCTCAAGTGCCAGCCCCGGTTATCCTAAGGGAATATTGTTCTTGGCAGACAGGATGGCGGTGGCGGAAAGAGGTCACGCAAACCCCCGCGCCAGGACACAGGGACCGGAGGGAAAACATAACCCCTTCCTGTTCTGTTTCTTCAAAGCGCTAAACTTTAGATCAAACGCAAACGAAACAGCTGGGCAGGCACCCCTCGCTTCCAGGCCCACCTGCACCACCGGTTCCAGTCCCCGGAGAGGATATCTTTGCTCCACCCCCATCATCCTGAGCATCTCCCTGCCCCGGGAGAATTCAGATGAAAAGAAAAGTGACAGACACAGATAAAAATATAAGTTCTAAATGTTCTGAAGAGTCAAATAACAACCACAGCCACCCCCAGTACAAATTCTTACCATGGGAGGAGAGGAGTGGGCGAAATACTCCACCTCCCCTCAACCAGGCAAAATAAATACAGCATTTACTGCCAAGAGGGAGGAAGGCGGGGGCGAGCCCACGGGAGGCCAGGCACTGCCAGGACGGGAGCCGGGAAAGGCCGGCAAGAGGGTCTGCGCTGGTGGTGCTGTCCTTGGTGCTGAAGGAGCAAGGCTCTGCCTCTAACTCCATACATTGGAACTGAGTGAATTTCCAGGCCCTCGACTCTTTATTTCTCCTTTCTGAGCCCAAGAGTCTGAGTGGGAGTGGGAGACAATTGGAAATTAAAGTCCTGAAACCCTTAATCTGCCAGTCGCCCTGGCTTACTGGAAAGTCACTAGCTCCACAAGTACAAGGATGACATAAATTGAAGGAACAATGTAAGCTCCAGCAGAGCAATGTGTGGCACACAGTGGGTCATTAATAAGTATCCGTTTGATTAATTAGCTACTAATATTTAATTAAACATTTTAAAATTGAGGATGAGAAAGAGACTTCACTCCTTCCCTCCCCAACACAAAGGAGAAAGAAATGTCCTCGAAGCTGGATGGAGCTAGCTTTAATTTGTGATAGCTAATCTTGCAGGCAAGTATTTTTCCGACGTGATTATAATCTTGGCTAAAACGTTAAGGTTGAGCAAGGAGGAAGTGCTTGGAAATTTCTGAATCTACTGCCATAGGTGAAGTAAACCCACCTTCCTTTACAGGAAATCTCGGGTTTTGGAAGAAGGTCGAGGGAACAAAGAGCAAGCCAGCATCCAAGTGGGACATCTGGGGACACCAAGGTCTGTTTCCTCCTCCCTCGCAGGTCTCCTTGCCCGTGGATTCGAATGACTTAGCTCTGACACCCAGCTCCCTGATTGGTTCGAGCACCTCTTTATGGAAAGCTGGAGGAGGGCGCGTGGATGAAATTCCGAATTCACGTCACTGTAAATTGCTCGTTTCAAGGGAGTGAGAGGCTTGGGAGGACGTTTCCTACACAGCCGTGTGGTTACCCCTTACCCATCCCATACGCACCTCAGCTCTTGCTCCCAGGCTGCCCTTATCCTGCACCCTGTGGTTCAAGATGCTTTTGTATCCTTAAAAAGTGCCCAGGCTTTTACTGTAAGGTGGAAAAAAGGCGACAGTATTTTCCTTACTATCAAAAGCAACGCTGTGATTCCAAACCTCTCCGGGAGATTCCTCTTGCTGATAGGACTATATTTTTCCAGGGTGGAATCTTCGAAATCCCTTATAGAATCTTCGGTGATTTACAAGATTTTGGGCCTTTCCACTGTGTCGTGGTGAAAAGCGATAAGATATTCAGAGAGAAGGGACAAGCTTCGGGTAAGCCAGCGAGGCCACAGATATGCACATAAATAATCCCAACTACCTACATCGCAGCTGGGGGGAAGTCACCGTGGAAATAAGGAAGAAATCACTGATCCGCGGTGTCACCCAGACTCGGAGATCAAGTTTGTTTTGCCCTAAAATAACTGAGAAGAAAGGAGGGGACATAAACTGGACAAGGCGGTGGCTGAGGGAAGGCTTGGAGGGAGGCAAGTTAGGGAGCTGATCAGCCCCTCCAGGTGCGGGCAGGGGCTCCAGATCAGCCACCCTCGAGCGCGGGGAGTCTCGGTCTCTGTGCGCTTGGCGCCCTCTGGTGGGAGATTTTCCGTCAACGGCTTTTTACAGTAAAGGGTTTACCCAACGCAGCAGTTCATCAAGGCTTAAATATTGCAAAGGAAGAATCTTTAAAGGGCGTGAAATCGAAAGGGAGTGAGCAGAGGGACCCGGGCACGTCCCTTGTGCTGGGGTTCCCCATGCATGTGGAGCGGCGCTCGTGCGTGTTATTAACCTTCAGACATGATCAATCAAGAGAAATTTTTTCCTATCACCGCGGGAGGGAGCGCATAGAGAATGGGAAAGGGGGCCCCTTTTTCGTTGGTGGCACCAGGTAGCTGTTCTCAGATGAGGTACTTTGGGGACGCCTCGAGCTGCCAGAGGAAACTGGAGTGAAGAGATAGAGACCCCTCCTCTCTGCCTCCTTCGCCTTTACAGCATTCCTGGCTCACTGGGGACCCGGCGAGGACGCTACCCCAAGCGATTTCGCTGGAGGAAGCGTTGTGTGGTCGCAGATCTGGGGGACTCACGGGGAAAGGGAATGAGGTAAAGCCATTGCTCTAGTCTCCTCCAAGATAGGGGAGGCGGAGGAAAAAAAGAACCGCTCAGCCAGGCAGAATACTTAGTAGGAATTATCTTTTCCCTCTTCTCACCGACACCCTATTAAAAAAAAAAAATAGAGCGTGCTGAGTACGCTTTGGATTACTCATAGGACCTTTTTTTTTTTCCGGGCGCAAACCCGTGATCTGGATTTATAATCGCCCTATAAAGCTCCAGAGGCGGCCAGGCACCTGCAAAGGAGCTCCGCCGCTCCGCCGAAGAGCTGCCCCCGCGAGCTGCGGCCTCGTGATTCCCCCGCCAAGCGGTGCCCGCCTCCCCACCCCGCCCCCCTCCCCCGGAGCCAAGCGCAGCCTCTCCGGATCTCGCTCTGCTCCTCCAGGCGCTCGCGTGCCGGACGGGGGTGGCGAGAGCGAGGAAGCAGCTGGAGGTGACGCCGGGCGGCTACGCCAGTGGCAGGGCGAAGCGGAGCTGAGCGGATCGCAGGACGCTGCGCAGACGAACGGCGGGAGCGTCCAGCTCGCATCGCCAAACCGAGGTGGGTACGCGCGCGACCGCTTGACTTCCCAGCTCCCAGCCTCGGCTGTTCCGCTGGGTCCTCTCCGCCTGCGCACGGCTTTTCGTCTACCTACACCGGGCACCCGCCACCCACCTCCTGGAGCTGAGCTTCCCTTCCGCCCCAGTCCGGCCCTCTGTTGGTGCGCCGCGCAGGGACCCCTGTCCTCCTCACGCTTCGTACCCTTGCCCAGAAGACGCCTGGAGACCGGGGTTCGTGCTGAAATAGGACAGGAGCATTTTTCCCCTCGCCGCTTCCAGGCTGTGAGCGCCTTTCTTTCCAAAGGACAGCTGGGTAGATGCAGCCGAAGGTGCAACTAAGAGCGATAACCTGTTACTTCCCCAGGAGCACCGTTCTGCCCTCTTCCGCGTTTATGCGAGAGTGAGCGCTAGGCCAGGCTTGGGGCCCGCAAGCAGGTGTGGAGGCAAGGGCCGGTGGGCCCCGCTCTGACAGTCAGATCTGCCAAGATCAGCCCGCACTCTGTCCCGCGGCCTCCGGACGCCATCGCGCCAGAGCCAAGCGCCTAGCAGCGGCGCTGCGCACTGATCTTTGTCCGCCACCTCTTGCGCTTGGGCGCAAGTTCGTTTCCCCGGTGCCATTCTCCTTTCTTACCTCCCCCACTCTCTCCGGTTCTCTAGGGCGAATTCGCTGGGTTAGGTAGAGGCGAAACGCAGAAACTGGGACAGAGCCTCGCCTTAGGCTTCGAGATGTCTCAAACCCGGGTGGGACTAGAAGCTGCTGAGCAAGGCTCTGACCCGCTCTTTCTGGCTGTCTGGGAGTGCAAGGTGACTCTGGTTTTACCTGGGCAAGTCCGAGGGAGAAGCATAAAGATATCAACCTTCTTTTTCTCTCACCTTGTCTCATCCAAGTCCCTGGTCCCAGAGCAGTTAGCCTCCTTCTTTCCAGGGAATTAGCCAGACACAACAACGGGAACCAGACATCGAACCAGACGTGCCCTCCCCGTGCGCGCTCCCCCCACCCCTGCCTGCCCGCACGCCGGCGGCCGAGAGCCCAATGGAGCTTAACGCGGCTCGGCGGGGAAATCACGCACTGAGCGCTCCCTTGTGCCCCTGGCCCAGTCCCCCACATCTCCGCGTCCGGCACTGGCCTTGGGCCCCCCTCGTCACAGAACTGCACTCCAGGTCCCCCCACCCCCACCCCCGCTATGCCCAGACTGGAGAGCCGCCCAGGGCTATGTTGCCTGCCCCGGAGTCCCGGAGCCAGGGCGCACGTCCCCCGCCCCCCCGCGCGCCCGACCGCGCGCCACGACCCAGCCAGCTCGCTGCCCTTCCTCCCTCTTCTCGCTTCGGCGCCGGCGAGACTTCCAGCGGAGCGTCTGCGCCCCCGCCGCTCAGTCGCCCCCGGTGCCAGGACCCCGGAAGTCCTCCCCACAACAGCTCTCGCTTCTCTTTGCAGCCTATTCCTGCCCCCGACCCGCCGAAGACCCCGGAGAGCAGAGGCCCCGGGACGACCAGGCTGATGGCGTCTCCGACCCCTTCTTCGTCTGCAACCTCCTCGAACGCGGGAGCGGATCCCAATACCACTAACCTGCGCCCCACAAGTAGGTCCTGCCCCAGTTTCCTATCAAATGGACTGCAGGGAAGATGAGGGCGCTGGGACGTCGGGAGGCTGCGCTGGGAAAGGGAAAGAGGAAAACGGAGATGATGGAGGCTGAGAAACAAATGGGGCCCTGACCCAGGTTCTTGCCAGAGGTCATTTGGCTGTCAGGGACCCCAGGTTACTCCTAGGGCACCGAAGAGCAAGGACCGCGCAGGGTCCGGGTGGAGGCGCTGGCTAGGGGCTTCGCGGCAGGGGAGGGGCGCACGGAGAGAGCGCTGTTGTTGTGTTGCGTGTGGTTTCTTTGCTTGGTGGGACAACAGGGGTCAGGGCAAGGGGCCGTGAGGAACCCAGAGTCCCAGCGAGAATTGAGTTTCTTGGCCCTGGCTTTCGTTGAGCTAAGATCTGACCTCCGCCTCCTCCTTTCCCTCTGCGCTGTGCTCAAAGTCTATAATCAGCGGAAATTTCGACGTTAATTGCAGCTTTTAGAAAACTCGGGGTCTCTAATTGCTCCAAATTTGCGTCGATCTATAGACGAGGGAGGGAAAAGCCTGGGGCGGGAAAGGTGTATAAAAAAACTGTTTGAGTCTGAGCCTCGACATTTCGTACAGTTAATTACATCTCACAGACAAAAAAAAAAAAAAGGGCGGGTAGGGGATCGGGCAGCAGCCTGAGTAGGGGGGGGGGGGGGGGGAACGACTAGAGAAGGCAGAAAGGTTTGCCTAGCGGGAGGAGTAAACGCCCGCTTCTTTCTCCCAGGGCCAGAGACCTGTCAGCAGGTGACAAGTCCTGGAGAAAGGGCGAGAAATCAGATAAAGGGGATCGGAAATTTGTACCTCTCCATCCTTAGCTCTACTCCCTCCTTGACCATTTGCAGAATCTGTTTTTAATTTGGATCGAGTTTTTACTTCTCGGTTTAAAGGCATGAGGAGGAGGGAATTTTTTTCCATGTTAGGCCCAATTGTTCCCTCGCCCCGCCCCACCCCAAATATCCATCAGTTCCAAACAGTAGCCGCCCCCAAATTTCTATTTAGAAGAGACACGGGGAGGACAGGTGTGGTTAGGAGTGTTTACTGCTGCGCTTTTATGGCACTTTCTATGAGCTTGACACAATAACTGACCTCATCAGCGGAAGTGGGGAGGGGTTACTGGCAAAGCCCCCTCTCCAGCCCTTTGCCCCTAGCTCCTGGGCAGAAGGCCTCGTCTCAAGTCCTCGGCTCGCACGCATTCCAGTTCCCTTAGCGACTCCCTTTTCCCGCCACCCAGGCGGGCTACAATTACCACACAACAAAGAGGGGCGCGGGAGAGCGGCCAGGCCTGGTGGCACGTGAGCCGGGCCGGGAGCGGAGCTGGCCCGAGCAGGGCAGGGCGGAGGAGCTCGAGGCCTGCGCGCCTTTTGTCTGTTGCTTTGGCCTCTGGATAGCTTTCTTTTCTGATCCTTAACCCCCCGACCACCATTTTTTCTGTCCCGTGGGTCTGGGGGGCATTTGCATTCATCTACCTCCCCCACCCCAAGCCCTGCGTGGCTATATGTGGTTATTTCCCCCGTGGACCATCGATCGCCCGAATGCGTGAATGCCCAGCCCCAGGTGCGACTCCCAGCAGAGGGGATGGCCCCAGTCCACACGTGGCCTGGCATGCCCAGAAGCCACCAAGGTGGACGCCAGAGAACCGAAGACCGGCTGAGGAAGAACGAACCGCGGGTGGAATAGAAGTACCCGCCCTCGGCAGCCCCGCGGTGGGGTCAGCACCCCAGGCTGCGCGCACTCCCCACGCCTGGCAAACACACCCTCGCCCACCCAGCTGGCTCTATTTCCCTGCCCCGTCGAGGTCTTCCGGAAGCTTTCCTTGCTCCGCCTGCACAAATTTACTCTCTTACCGTAGCAACCCTCTGCGGAGCATGGAGCCTCCCTTACCCTCCAAAACACTAGAAACCCGACTCCTGCAAAATCAGGGGGGCTTCTCTCCTCCCTCCCTCCCTCCATCTCCCTTTTCTTTTCTTTCAATGTAGCTTCCAATTTTGCAAGGTTTTAAAGGGTCAGAGCTTCAAGCTCCCGCTGAGTGACCTTGGAAAACTCGCTCAACCTCTCTGAAGTAGTATTGTACTGTGTCAAATGTGCCTAACATCAACAAACATCCTCCAGTCTGTTTCCTTGGGTTGTTTTGAGGCTTAGATGAGATGGTGTTTAAAGTGAAAGCACTCTATTGGCTAGAAATGGCTCTTAACGCGCCAGGTATTATTTTTGTTAGGGTTTTGCTTTCCAGCTGATTTCTCGTCCATCAGTGCAAGTCCGTCTATGACATATCAGGCCGTGTCTTCTCCCGCGGGGGGCTCTGTTGTGCCTCGGTTTAAAGGACGTCTCTGCTTATCTCAGCCGACACCCGCGCGGCTGGAGGCTCCGCTGGGGTGGGTGGGGGATGGGATATTGGAGGCCCCTTGCTTTGCTCTGAGGGGTCTGAGGGGGTTTCACGGTGGGCCGGACACACCAGACTGCACGGGGACTTCGGCACCCGGGGCTGCCTTTCGCCCTCGGTCCTGGAAGTTGTCCGCTGAGGCAGGTAAATCCAGAGGCATGGAGCACGGCCTGGCGAAGAAGGAAGCCCCGGCAGCCCCTCGGTCCGCGGCTCAGACTCGGAGAAAAGGTGCCGGATTCCATTCGCTTGCTCCAGACCCGAAATATCTAAGAGAAGGGTTAATGAGGGTCAGGTTGGGAAGAGGGGCCCTGGATGAGGACAGGAGGCGCACTATTGTCTTCCCGACTCCCCCCAAGTCGGACTGAAGAGCAGCCATGCAAGTCCCATCATCTAGTCAAATACTATTTTTCACCCAATTAATTCTTGAACTCTTCCGCGACCCCATTTCATGCCAGTTTATTTTAAGCTGCCACTAGGCTGGAGACCCGCCAAGAAATTATGAGACGTCTCGGTCCCAGATGCCTCTGTGTTCCCTTTCCACGCTGGCGAGGTCGCCCTTCGAACCTGCAGGCCAAGGCCGCGGGACCCGGTCTGCGGGCGCTGAGGAGCTTGAGTGGCAGGGTCTGGCCTTCTGCGCGTGGGTGCGCCTTAGCCCCACCTGGCCTGCGTCTCAGGGCGGCCGGCGGGGGCCTTTCAGAGACTCCGGGAG